CCCCTCTTCCTCCCCAGCAGCTCTCCAAAGCCAGCCTTTTTGGTGCTTTCATGGAGGTCTTGTGGCATGGGTGCATTTGATTAAAGCATGGGTCAATTTAACCTTCAGCTCTTCTCCCCTCCCAGGAGGCTGGGAGATGGTGTGAACGTCCCATCCTTCTAATCATCCTTGGTCCCTCCAGTGACCAGCCCCACCCTGAAGCTCTCAACACATTAGCACACAAAACGACACTTGTTTAGAAGAGTCCAAGGATTTTAGGAGCTGTGTGTCTGAAAGTACATACATCGACTAAATATGTATTCCATGATCACACTTCTTAGCCACCCTAATTAAGGAAGAAGCTGTTGTCCAGTGTCCTTTCTCTATTGCTTCTTTCCTGACAGAAGACTGAAATGATCTGTGTCCAGAGAAAAGACAGCTTGCTCAGCCCCCTTGAGCGAAAGGTACCAATGCAAGGCAAGCAGAAGTCGGCGGGGGATCCTGGCACAGATCTTGAAAGGAGGCTGACTCAGCTGGACAGGATTTTCTGCCCTCCCTCCCTCTCTTGCTCCTTTCCCAGAACCTAGATCTCAGAGCTGCAGCAGCCACCCTGCAGCTGAAAAGCTGGACAATGCACGCCACTGGCCGTGAGTGAAAGGAAGACTGGAAAAGATGTCCAGGCTGAGTCACTGCTCAGCTACACTGCCTGGGGTATGTGTCACTAGAATTTTTTTTAATGAAAGGAAAAAAAATACTCCAGTGACTCTTTTAGTGAAAGGAAAAACTACTCTGACACTCTTGCTGCTAGCAGCTGAACATCAGCACTAACTGACACAGTGACCTGGGAACGTGGCTTAATGGGGGAAGGGCTTAGTTTCCATCTTTGTAAACTGATGGCATCATACAAAGATCACGGAAGGTCCCTTCATCTCTGAAACACTACGCTTCTAAGACTCCCTGTGAATGCAGAAAAAATGCCTCGGGCTTGCCTGTTCTGTCTTCCATCTTGGGGGAAGTCTGAACGCATGTGCTTCCTCAGGCAGGAGTCGAAATGACTGTGAACATAGCCATGGTATGACTCAGCATTTGCACCCCTAGGGTACACATGTAGACAGGAAGGCCCGCATGCACTCTGAAACTACATACATGAACCCTCATTGCAGCACTGTTCTCAACAGCCAAGGGGAAGAAATGACCCAAACGTCCGTCCATGGATGAACAGGTGTGTAAAATGTTCTTCCCCACATGATGGAGTGTTATTATCAGCCCTAAGAAGGATGGAGTGCTGATGCTTGCTCCCATATGGGTGACCCTTGAAAACCTTAAACTAAAGACAAACAAGCCAGACACAGAAGACCACAGACGGCACGATTCCATTTGTATGAAACGTCCCGACTGATGAATTCAGACACAGAAAGACTGGTGGCTGCCAGGGGTCGAGGTGGGAGGGGGAAGAGCAGAGTGAGGAAATGACTGCTGATACGATGGGGTTTCCTGCTAAGGGGATGAAAACGTCCTGGGATTTTAGCCGCAGTGGACCCTCAGCGCTGTGAGTGCACTAAAACACGCTGATCTGTATTCTTTTCAGTGGAGAATTTTGATGGAATGTGACTAATACCTCAGTTTCAAAGAAAAAGGAAAAATGAGGATGAGACATTTTTGGTGAAATAGACTGCACCAAAGTAAGCTTCTCCGGGTGTGTCGGCCAGTGAGCCTTCAAAGAATGCCGAGGGCCACGAGGACAGGGGAGGCCAGGAGGGAGGAATGTTAAAAAACTAAGGTGTGAATCTGTTTTCAAGTGAATGGGTCAAATTGGAGGCATATTTAGAAAATCATGACCTCAAAATAGGACTTTTGTTACATACCCGAAGGAAATCAGCATGTAGGAGTTGCCCCAGCCTTGTCCAGGTGCAAGTCACACCTTAAGTAAAATAAGGATGTGTAAGGGTGTCGCTCCAGCTTTCACTAACGTCCTGCTCGCTTTTACAGTACACGACTCCCAGGAGGATATTCCTCCTGCAACCACAGCTGCATTACCCCGGGTGTATGTGTGCATGGAATTTTAGAACCACAGCATTCAATATCATCCTATAGTGACCCCATTACAGACAAAAGTCTTGACATTGTTTGAGCCCAGCTCATCTACAAAAGCTGAGTGTGGACCAAGACATGGGTTTACATTTCCCCTTGAAGCCAGGAAGCCCATCCTTCCCTTCCTCATAATTCTCGTGTGGCTTTGTATATGATAGGGCCTAAGACAAAGAGCTCCGCTTCTAAGACCGGAACAGTATAAAGGGTTCTGGGATCTTAGAGGTCTCCGACCCTCCACTTCCTTACTTACATAATAAGAAGGAATGGAATGGAATGGCGTCTCAAGGTAACTTTTGGTTCAGATTGCTATTAATCTAACACACTTCTGGTGACAAAATGGAAAATTTAACATGGTCTTAGATCATCTCCTGGGTTGCTGTAGAGATGTCCATCAATCTCAAGCCCACATTGGGATTTTAGATCCTTCTCAGCCTCCCAGGATGACCTCAAGGTGCCCGCCCACTCCTCCTCCCTAACCCGAACCTCTGAATCCTCCAGTGGGGCTTGTGATTTGGGTTCTGTGTTTGCCCAGAAGTGACAATCCTCTTCTGGACACATCAGGGAGGGACAGAACATGGAAGGGGGCTGAAGGCAGGCAACACCACCGCCATCAGCACTGCCACCAAGTCCCACCACACAATGGCTGTATCGAAGGCAGCTAGTGTTTCTAGGCACCTGAGCATATGCCTCACGGTGACAGTTTCCCCATATGCATTTAAAGTCTATTCTGTCTTAGATCCCAGGGCATCTGTTTGAATGGTCAGTTTGGTACTCACTATCCCAATCCTGCCAAAATAAGCTCTGGCAGGGTGCTGAGAGGCCAGCAGGCAGGCTGGCTGGCACCTGTCTGTCCTCTTCTCTCAAGGCGGGAAGGAGAAGCATGCTTCTAGTATGCCAAGGGGCACTTGGCTACAGTTCCTTGCTTCTCTGAGGTCTGACAGGCTATAGGGAAGGGCCCCGCCAAGGATAGTCCAGGGGGCCTTGGCAGCTGCCCCAGTGCTCCGGGCGCTTAAAACCAGTCACCCTTCAGCAAGGCCGTTGGAAGCTTTACACCAGCTCAGCAAGAATGGCACCTGCCAGGCTGCTACTAAATGTAGAAAATTGGAGCTGAGATGGCCCTTCCCACCCTTTGGACGAGGTTTTGCAACACACTCATGAGGGCAGCAGGCTGCTCGCTTCATTGACGGGAGGCAGATGGCAGAATCAACTTAGTTTCGTTCTGTTCAGACGGACACAGCTCACACTTTTCTTTGGAACTGTTTCCAAATATATTTCCGCCTCTTTTAAAATGAAAATCTTTCCTCTACAGTCATCTTTCTTTCAAGTAGTAGAACCATGTAGGATCAAATAAATGTAAGGCTGGATTTACAAATAATATTTTTTTCTAATTTTGAATTTGTGTAAGTACTAGAAAAATCTTAAACCTTGGTTTTTTTTTTTTTTGTTGATGATCCTTTTCTTCTCATAGGAGTATATAAGTAAGGATTTTTACATTTATTTACTGACATTTCTCTTTTTATGAGAAAATGGCCCAGAGTAAAGCAGAGCATTAGCATTACTTTGACAAAAAAATAATTTATCCCATAGAAGCATTTTAACTGAAAATTCATGGACTCCACATTTTCATAGTGGTTGAGTCCAAGTTTTAGGCTGCGGCATGTGTTCAAATCTCACATCACACGCCTGCATGGTGAGGAAGCAATAAACTGTGAAAATTACTGTGGCTTGCCTATTTAAATTCTCCAATAATTCTGAATTTATAATTCCACAGTAACTCAAAAGAGATTAACTTAAGTACAAAGTTTGCAATAGAGTAGAGGCATGGTTCTGGGAGAAAGTTAACAAAAAATGAACCTACTGCTTATACATCTGTATCTGTTCCTAATTACAGGTGATTTCATTGACTTAAAAGGCATAGAGTGTATCCACTGGCAGAATCCCACTTGTAGAATTTTACAGGATAGCTATTCTCCTGTACACACTGATATATTCACAAAATTATCCATTGTGTCAACGTAAGAAAAAAGTATAAACAACCTAAATGTCCACTGGTAGGGAAGTGGCTGAATATAACGGGGCACAACTACATAATGGATGCTATGTATCCATGTCAGGAGGAGAGGTGTTTCTCCGAGATATACGGGTGGTGGGGCTGGTGTACAGCTCATTAGTAGAGATGTGCAAGGCCTGAGTGTGACCCGTAGCACTCGCCTATGAGTACTTCAACACCCACACACCACACACAGTTTAGTGAAGATGGGCACAGAACAGCATGAGTGGAAGACAAATGAGGAATAAGCTGGAAGAACGTGAAAATATATACAACCTCTCTGCAAGAGTGTGAGAAAGATGATACGGATAGGAGTGGCTGGCTTCTGAGGAGGAAGACTATCAAGGGACACAGGAGGGAGGGAGACTCACTTTAGAATCGTGCGCTGTGTGCATGCAGGAACTATTCAGAAAATTGTAGCTGGATTTGGGGGTGCACACGTAACCCCATCACTCTGGGATGGGGGATGAGAGCAGGAGGGCAGCACTTAGTGAGACATTGTCTCAAAACAGTCTTTTTTTTTAAAGGGACCTGGGGATATAGATCAGTGTTAAGATCCTGCCTTCAATCCCTGCTACAAAAAAAAAAAAAAGGCAGAGGATTTGTACACACATTTAGTATGCTTCCCAGTAGGGTCTCTTTCAACTAATAAAACATGTACTTACACCCATTTTAAAGTTCAGGTTGATCCTCCTACCCAATGGGGTAAGATTGTCACATGTTTAATTTTCACCACACCCAAGCAGTAAAGGAGCTCTGCCTCACGCCTTCCCTTCTTTAAAGGGAGGGAATTAACAGCGCGTGTTCAGAAAGTTACATTTCAGTCTGTAATAAAGCACTGAAGCAAGAGGAAAAGGGGGGGAAAGAAGAGAGGACACCATTCAGACACAAACGTTTATGTGATTTCAGCCATTACAACAGTAGTTCAGGAGTATCTCAAGTGTTACAGCGGTGTCATCAATGTTACAAAAAGAGAAAACAAAGTGACAGGCAACAGTGAAGAGCACCAGAGAACCAGCGCACACCTACGGCAGACCATGCTTGCTCCTTCGAAGCCAGGGTATTTCACAGTAGCCCCCCTCCCCCTCGCCTTCCTGCTCAGCTCTCCCCAGGCTGCTGCGCTGCGACCTCAAGCCTCGTCCTCGCCCTCCTCCTCCTCGAACTCCCCCTGTTCGTCGGCCGTGGCGTCCTGGTACTGCTGGTACTCGGACACCAGGTCGTTCATGTTGCTCTCGGCCTCGGTGAACTCCATCTCGTCCATGCCCTCGCCCGTGTACCAGTGCAGGAAGGCCTTGCGCCGGAACATGGCCGTGAACTGCTCCGAGATGCGCTTGAACAGCTCCTGGATGGCCGTGCTGTTGCCGATGAAGGTGGCTGACATCTTGAGGCCGCGCGGCGGGATGTCGCACACGGCCGTCTTCACGTTGTTGGGGATCCACTCCACGAAGTAGCTGCTGTTCTTGTTCTGCACGTTTAGCATCTGCTCGTCCACCTCCTTCATGGACATGCGGCCGCGGAAGATAGCGGCCACCGTGAGGTAGCGGCCGTGGCGCGGGTCGCAGGCGGCCATCATGTTCTTGGAGTCGAACATCTGCTGGGTGAGCTCGGGCACCGTCAGGGCGCGGTACTGCTGGCTGCCCCGGCTGGTGAGGGGCGCGAAGCCCGGCATGAAGAAGTGCAGGCGCGGGAAGGGCACCATGTTCACGGCCAGCTTGCGCAGGTCTGCGTTCAGCTGGCCCGGGAAGCGCAGGCAGGTGGTCACCCCGCTCATGGTGGCCGACACCAGGTGGTTGAGGTCGCCGTAGGTGGGGGTGGTCAGCTTGAGGGTGCGGAAGCAGATGTCGTACAGGGCCTCGTTGTCGATGGAGTAGGTCTCGTCAGTGTTCTCCACCAGCTGGTGCACGGACAGGGTGGCGTTGTAGGGCTCCACCACGGTGTCGGACACCTTGGGCGAGGGCATGACGCTGAAGGTGTTCATGATGCGGTCTGGGTACTCCTCGCGGATCTTGCTGATGAGCAGGGTGCCCATGCCCGAGCCGGTGCCGCCCCCCAGCGAGTGGGTCAGCTGGAAGCCCTGGAGACAGTCACAGCTTTCGGACTCCTTCCGCACCACGTCCAGGACCGAGTCCACCAGCTCGGCGCCCTCTGTGTAGTGTCCCTTGGCCCAGTTGTTCCCGGCACCACTCTGGCCTGCAGAGAGAGAAAATTCCTAAATTCCCAATGATTGGGTTAAATTCCTTCTCACCTCAAACCCCTTAATAAAGCAGTCAGTGCTCAGATAAAATCCTATCTGGTTGCCACCAAACATTCGGATGTTACCCAATGTGTTCACGTGTGTAATTCTTTTTTTTTTTTTTTTTTTTTTTGGTTTTTCTCCGGTACCGGGAACCGAACTCAAGACCTTGTGCTTCCCAGGCAGGCGCTTTTGCTGCTGACCTAAATCCCCAGCCCCTATGTGTGTAATTCTAAGTAAGGAAGTAGGAACACCTGGCTATTAGAAGCTGCAAGGCAAACCTATGTCTTTTTAAAGCCTACATTAAAGCTCAGCTGCACACAACTGGACGTTCTGCATTCTTTCCCTCTGGCAGTCACCCTCCTCCAACCTAAGCAAGGAGCTCCCCGTACCTTCAGGGATGCCAGGCACTCACCGAACACAAAGTTGTCTGGCCTGAAAATCTGGCCGAAGGGTCCAGACCTGACTGAGTCCATCGTGCCGGGTTCCAGGTCCACCAGGATGGCCCGAGGTACATACTTGTTACCTGCGGGGAAGGGAGCTGCCTCAGACCCGCAGGCAGAGCGCTATGCAGAGAGGGGCTTGCTCTTATCTTTCTTCTTGGCGGCAGTGATATTGCCCCAAACAAAGGAAACCCGTGGCCGGTTTGCAAAGGGCTTGCCTTGGCCCAGGGGAGGGCTTGGCCCAGGGGAGGGCACCCCGGTATGGGTTATCGGACACTGACCCCAGGGAAAAAAGGAAAAGAAAGGAAGGGAGGAGGGGAGGTAGAGGCAATTACCAGTGGCTTCGTTGTAGTACACATTGATTCTTTCCAGCTGCAAATCGCTGTCTCCATGGTAACTGCCAGTGGGGTCGATACCATGTTCATCACTGATAACCTCCCAAAACTGAGACAGAAAAAGGCTGTATTTAGCCACGAGGGGCCCCAAGGACGCCGCAAGTCATAAGCAGAAGCCCCCCTGCGGCTCTGACAACCCAACCTTTCAGGAGCTTTCAAGGGCGGCGGGACCCCGGGCTTGGATACTGCGGGGTCAGACAGTGGAAACTGGGCGTTTCCCAGGCGAACAGCTGCAGGCAGGGAGATTGGGGTCCTGGGGGTTGGAACCAGCAGAAGCCTGGGACTGCGGGTTCACTGCCCTCAGAGTCACAGCCTGGCGCGGCAGGCGATGCGCCCCCTCCCCCCGCCCCGTGTCCAGCCGGCGGGGAGGGGCGGGCGAGACCGGAAAGGGGTTTAGATTCAAAGCACGTCCAGCGGCTTCGAGACAATCGCTCTCCTCCCCTCGGCGGAGGCTCGGCTCGGGTTCAAGCGAGTAAAATCAATTCTCCCCCTGTCCGGGTCCCTCCCTAGCCCGGCGCTTTTCCTGCTGTCCCGGTCCCTCCCTAACCCGGCGCACACAGCCTGGCGGATACCTGCGTGCCTGGCCAAGTGTCCAAGCGGGAAGAGAGGGACCAAGGGACGGCCGGGATTTCGAACAGGTTGCGGTGACAATGAGCGAGACACTCCCTCCCCGGGAGTCGCCCAGAGCCCATACTCCCCAGGGCTGCGCAGAGCGTTCCGGACGTCCGTACTTTTGAGCCCGGCCTCCCCAGCACCGCGCCGCGCCCGGGACCTGGAGGGGCGCTCGGCCCGGCCCCACTGCCCCACCCGGACCCCCGCCCCGGAAGGCGCGCCCACCTTGGCGCCGATCTGGTTGCCGCACTGGCCCGCCTGGATGTGCACGATCTCGCGCATGGTGCCTCGCTCGCGTCTCCCTGGTTCGGGTCTCTGTTTGTCAGTCTGTCTGTCCTCCCCTCCACGCCCACCGCGAGACGGCCAGGAACGCGCTCGGAAACCGACGGGCTGAGAGCCCCGGGCCCGCGGGCTGGGGCTTTTATGGAGGGAGGGAGGGGCGCGCGGCGCAGGCCGCGCCCCCAGCCCGAGCCCCCCAGTCCCCAGCGCGCGAGTGCTGCCCGGCCCGGCTGACGTAATGCTCCGGGCCCGGGGACCGTCCGGGAGGCTGGACTGCGAGCCAGTGGCCAATCAGCGCGGGCGGAGGGGGGCGACTTGCAGGGGAGGGGTGAGCATTGTCTCGGGCCGGGGGAGGGGGAGGAGCGCGGCGGGAGGTGGGGAAGGGCGCGGGGCGGAAGCGGCTCGCGCTGCAGAGCCGGTGGGGCCCGAGCTGGCACTGGCCGGGGCGCAGGAAGGACTGAGCAGGTGGAGAGGCCATCGGGCGCTGGAGTGGCGCAGACGGAAGGACTGGGGTTGGCGGTGTCTCTTCCGCCACCGGCCAGGGTGCCCAAGCCCGGTGCACCTGCGATATCACCGCGCCCCTCCCCAACCCTGGGGCCGGCCGTTGTCCTGGCACCGAGGCGCCGCACACGGAGCCGTAGGGGAAGGAAGGCAGCCGACCCCAGAACGAGTCATGCGCAACCCGGACGGAGAGGCCCTAGGGGTCTGGACAGCCCTGGACACCGTGGCCCAGGAGCCCCGCGCGCTCTCGCCTTTGTCTTTGTCTCGAGCCCCTGGCTCCCTCAGTGCAGAGCCAGCGGTGGCGCGACCCCTCCGCGGGTCCAGGGCGGCCGAACCGCCGCGCCCCCGCGGCCCCGGGCGCTCGGCCTTTGTTCCCCGCGAGGGCTGGGTGGGCGTGGCTGCTCGCGCGTGGACGGCGCCGCGGCCGAGGGGGGTGGGGCCCAGGGGGCGGGGCGGCGGCGGAACAAAGGGCTCTCGGGCGTGGGCGGTGCGCGAGGGGCTAAGAATTTAAAATCACACTCGGGTGCCCCTGCTGAGGGTTCGGTTCCTGCGTCGACGGGTAAAGGCGCGGGTTCCAAAAGTCGTCGCCGCGCCACCTCGAGCTTTGGAATCTCTTCGCGGCGGCCACGAGGTCCCAGACTTCGTGCTCCGGATTGGGGGAGGGCCGCCTCGAAACTGCAGTCCCGCGAGGAACGGGCCACGCCGACCCTGCGCGGCCACGCGGCGCGTGCGCAGACTCCGAGCGCTCGCATCCGCACTCCTTGGGTTCGAGGACCGCGCCGAGCTCTTTGTTACGGCGTGTGCGCGCGTGTGCTCGAGTGCGCGAGTGTCGAGCGGCCCAGCCCACGCGCGTTGGCAGCAGGGGGAAGAGGGGGCAGGAAAGCTCACGGCAGAACCCGTTCCCTGCAGTTGCAGGGCTGGACCTCTGCCTCCGGGACGGGTAGTTTGCAGGGTGAGTTGACCTCTTTTCATCCTCTGGACAGAGAAGCCGAGAGTCCCAGGGTCCCACGGCGGCGCAGAGCTCGCAGCTGTTGAGTGAGGCCCGCCCAGAGCCATCAGCAAGCTGTCACCGCCTCCCTTTCCCGCTGGGGTGGGAGGGGGCTTTTAACTCAATTCCTTGTACAAAGAGAAGCAGCGAGAACAAAAGCCCAGCGGCCCGCAGACATCTTGAGGGTCCGAGTTCCCGGGACGACTGCGGGTGTCGGCCTAAGGTTGGGTTAGGCGTTAAGCAGGGGGTCTGCCTCTCCCCCCAATTAGCAGGGCTCCAAGGACCCAAGCCCTGACCCCGGATTTCCTAATCCACATCCTACAGATGCGCAAGCTTTGAGGGCGAACAATTCCCAAGGTCACACAGCAGGTTAAAATGAAGGCGCAGACTCGAATCCCAACTGCCAAGCACCCAAGTCCCCGGGGAAGGTCACCGTGTCCAGTCTAAAAGGGCCGTAGCAGGTGTCAGCCTCGAGGCGGCGGCTCCGATGGGACCCAGCTGCCAATGTAGTGGGCTCGACAGGGGCGGTTAGCGCCGGCCGTGCGGCTCGGCCCCACCCGGGTAACCTGAGCTTGCTTGCCTCACCTAACGGGTCCATTTCTCAGCTTGTTTCAGAGCCAGATCGCCGCTGTACCGGGTGAAAACGCGTGTTCAAGATTACATAGATAAATGGAGCCCTTTCTCTCGGGCTTCTTTTTGGGGAAGGGGTTTGGGATAGAGCGAGACTGGAAATCGCCCTTGCAAGGGCCCGGATGCCTTGGAGGGCCAGCCTTTTTGGCCTAAGATTGCCTCCTTTTCATGAGCATTGTCCCCGCCCCCACCCCTTTGGAACCGAAATTCTTACCAGTTCTACTGGGATTACGATGGTGCACCTTTCATTTTTCACAAGGACCTGATTTTGTGTTGAAAAGTGGATGAAGGCTACGTTTACTCTTTTTTTTTTTTTTTTTTTTGGTTTTTCTCTGGTACCGGGAACCGAACTCACGACCTTGTGCTTGCCAGGCAGGCGCTTTGCCGCTGAGCTAAATCCCCAGCCCCAGGCTACGTTTACTCTTAAAGTCTTTCGGTTTATCTGCATTTTTAAAAATCAACCTCATTCCATGTAATTTGCAGAAAGAGCTACTGGGAACCAAAGGGGAAGGACAACAAAAAAACAGTGTTCTCAGCTGGGGTCCCTGCAATTTCTTTTTGTCTGTCATACCCAATTTCTTTCAGTCTGGGACACTGTATATCACACATAAAGATTTGGAGACAGTGTATTTCATGATCTGTTACATGTGGTAAGTTTTAAGGATTTTAAAAATTTCCCTTCCAGAGACAGTTGCTTAATACTGCTCTGTGAAATAAAATTCAACATTTTTATGCATAACTACGGCTGAGGTGAGCAAGAGCCACTAAACTATTAAAACTACCTTCGCTCTTGCAATTTTCAGATTATTTTCAATGGCAAAATCTCAAATGATTGTGCATTTCTCTATTACAAAGAATCATTGTTTCAAGGAACAGAAGGGGTCTGTTAGAAAGGGGGCTTTGTGTAAATGCACAGTAAATTTTGGAAGTATTGTTTTCTTAAGGCAAAATCCATCCTGAGACATTTGTTGGACCTACTGGGTGCTTAGCTCAGGATTCCTCCACGTTACACACGCGCAGCCAGCCGTCTTCACCAGTTAAAACACAATCCTGCAGCCCCCAATGCCTCCTCTCTGCTGTGAGATGTAAGCGGTTTCCTAGGCAACCCACACTTTGCCAGTGAATGAAAAGGAAAGAAAGCTGGTGAGCACATCCGTCATTATTTCCTTTTTTTTTTTTTTTTTACACATTTCTCAATGCACTCCAGTTAGGAATATTGGAAAGCTACCAATCCTAACATTTATGCAAAGAAGTCAGCTGCCCCTAGAATGCTGGCTAGGAAAGGGTGCCGCCGTGCACTGCTCCTGGGATCTGTGCTGTCTCAGTCTTGTTGCTCCCTGACCCCTGATTTATATCCCACCACCCTCCCGCTTCCCTGCCTGCTGGAGAAACCACAGTGCCTGGGTGCTCAGGACCAAAGGCGCTATCAAGGTGGGTGCCCGCAGGGACCCTGAGCCCAGGTGACAAAAGACTGGAATAAGCAGAGTGTGAATACAGCGCAGTGTGGGAAGGTTGACTGTGTGTCTCAGGAAGGCTGGGTGCTTTGCTTCTGCTTTCGGTCATGAATTTGGATTAAAATGGCTTCGGTCCAGAGTCAGAGCGCTGAGCTTTCATGAAGGGATTTGCCTTCGTGGTCAGAATCTGCCGAGGGAGGAAGGCGCCAGCTTTCTGGGGCACTGGCTCCTCTTTCTAGGCAGCCTCCCCTCCCCCATGGTATCAAGGGTTTGCAAGGTTCTCAGGCAGGCTGGGTGATTGGCATCTCACCAAGCAGAGGCAGCCTACAAAGAAAGCTAAAGCAGAAGGGCGTGCTCCCATGCACGCATTCTACAACAGGAAGGCAGCGTGGCCCTTGAACATGAACCCTTGATGAAATGGATGAGCACACACAGGAAGATGCGTGGGGCGCCTCCGAGCCCTTTTAAGTTGAGGTTGTCACATCAATGATTGTAAGAATCTTGCCCACATTAGAAACTGTTCCAGCAGCAGTCCGTGCTCGGCAGTGTGTCTGCAGCTCACCGTATCTCTTCCAAGTGCGTGCTAGACCTTTGCTTGCCATTTAAATAAAATTACAATGTGTATTCAGATGGGTGCACACACATACTCATAGGCACACCCTGCCTCCTTGCACTGGTGGGCACTGCTGTGACCTCCCTGCAGAAACAGGAATGCTTTTGGTTTGAGGCGCTCAGCCTGCTTTAGCATGGCCACCAACATTCACAGTACGTTTTTAAGAAAATAATGCATTAAGAGAACCTCTGCAAGAATACCCTGTCTCTTTCCAAATAGCCCATAGAAGGGGAAACTTAGCAAAAGGGTTAGTCTCACACAGGTCTATCCAAAAGACCTGAAAGCAGGATTTCAAAGAGCTGTTTGGCGACCCAGATTCATAACTACATTATTTACAATAGCCAAGCAGTAGAAGCAATCCGGGCAACCCAGGGTGGATACATAGGTTAGCACATCACGGTCTCTACTTACAATGAAATTTGTTCAGACTTTAAAGTTGAAATTCAGATGCATATACCACATGGAGGAATCTTGAAGACGTTACAAGAAGTGAAAACAAATCAGTCCCCCAATCGCAAATACTGTATTAGCGCTACTCATGTGGTACCCAAAGGAGTCAAGTTCATGGAGACAGCGGAATAGTGGTTGCCAGGGATGGGGGTAGGGGACGAGGATTTGTGTAGTGGTGGACTCTCAGTTGTACAAGAGAAAAACAGGCCTGAAGTTGGACAGTGGCAGTGGTTGCACAATAATGTGAATTCAGTCACCCTCCCCTCGCCAGATCTGAGGGTGACAGGTTCCAGGCATCCCCTTCCTTCCCTCACACCCAAATCAGCAGGTGTAGTATTTGCATAGACCCAACCAACATCCTCCTGTTTATTTTGTGGTCTCTAGATTACTTACAATACAATGTAATTTAATTGTAATTGATGCAATTATAATTAATACACTTTACATTATTACTTAATGCGCTGTAAATGATTGTTACATTGTATGATTTTGGGAATGAGAAGGAAGGAAGTCTATCTATGTTCAGTACAGATCCTTTTTTCTTGCAGGGCTGGAGATGGAACCCCGGGCCTTGCACATGCTGGGCAA